AGCAGTGAAGAAGGTGAAGAGGTAGGTCCAGCCCACACGGGGTGGAGCTAGCTCATCGTCGCCAATGCCTAGCTCTCTTATGAAGCGCTTTAAAGTCGCGAAAATGGGACATGCTCTGCAATCGCGGTTCGAAAAATCCGCGTGCAAGGAAGAGCTTCTGCACGACAAGTCAATGCTTCCACGTTGCACAGGCGTGATAACTCATCGTCCCTATTTTTGCACGTTCTGCGTATGCGGCGTCAGTGACGCCGAATGTGCGGTCTCATTTTCGCCGCGTCCCCGCAACATGGATCTCCTGACCGTCCGTTTGATTAATAATAATTTTCACTGAATTCTGGCGAGACCACGACAAATTCTGATATTTTCCAGTACTCCTTTAATGACAATGGAAACGATATTGAGAAGCTTGGATGACGAATCAGAAAGCGAAGGAGAGAGCCGAATACATTTCGTTCTTCGCAGTTTAGCTGGTCAAGAGCGCAGAGACTCTTTGATTATTGTTGCTCATGCCATCACTCTGGCGGCAGCTGCTACATTAGGTCCTTTTATATCTCATTTGTTAGTTGGAGGGTCTCTCGCAAGTCCCATTAATTGAATAACTTTAGCGGACGCAAATACTGGGGACGATACGCTGGACTGTGCTCCCTCAGAAAAAATCGATGTGCTGGAAGGCGAAATTGATCGTATCAGGCTGGGAGTGAGGTAAGTACTGCGAAGTTAGATGTACTTTTCGCATTAACCTGATGCTGTAGAAGTAGGCAGTGACTCATAGTCAGGGAACGTTGTACGTTGAGGAACTCAAGCGAAGGGGTCGCATTTGGTCGCTGAAGGAAGGAGGACGTATTTGTCCCAAGGGAGAATGTTTCGGGTTCGACTTTTCTCGATTTTTCCAGTTTCACGTTCAGATGCGCTATCCCTCCCCCTCCCCCTCCCCCTCTCGGCTCAGTTTCCTGGAGGTGAGGGGAACTGGACAGGTAAGGAACATTGGGAGAAATTAGGGATAAGGAAGGGGGGGAGAGCAGGATCGGAGGAGGAGTTTCGGGGAGGGGGAGATTGTACCAAAGGAGGAAGCTTGTCTTGAGTTGCTGGCAAAGTTGCGATACAGGTTTCCTCGTCATTAAAGTGTTCCATTCGCTAGGTTAGCCGTATCAACTGGCCGTGGTCCTTGGCGTGGAGCCAGCCCGCTTTTCGCTGCTTGTTGCGGCTTCAGGCGCTCAGTGAGTGGTGTCAATGGGGGTCAGGGCTCCCCTTAGGCAGCGCAGTTCAGACGTTCGCGACGGCAGCGCCTCGGTCGCGCGTTCGGCGCGATCGATGCGCATGCTTTCAACTGCATCGATCGCGTCGAACGCGCGACGTCGAAGCGCTGGCGTCGCGAAGTCTAAACGCTGCCTAAAACCCACGTTCCGCAAAGGGAGTAACGGCTGTTTTAGTCCTGATAACTGCTGTTTGACGCCGCAGTGCGCGCTCGGTAAGTTATCACAAGAATGCTGAGATATTGGCAAAAGTCGGACCCGGGACGGGACTTGAACCGCATCTCCCGCTTACCGGGCGGTTGCGTTATCCATTACGCTACCGGGGCCTCCTTTGCCTGGAATGACGGTTGGATGTAATACCGATGACACCTCATTTCTTGAAGGCATGTGGCATGATTATTTGGTATTCGGTCTAAAATGCTCCCAGGGTACATACAGTGGGGAAATGGCGGAAACAGTCAAAAACCTTTGAAGAAAAACCTTCCTTCTCACTCAAAAAGCAATTTCGGACGAGTTTCCCGTGAGCACCTCGGCCGCTTATTATTCCATTCGCTTCATATTTTATTTCGCAAATGAAGCAATAGCAGCATCAGGTACGGTCGTCCATTTGTGGGCGGGCGGGCGCGGTGGGCGTCCGGGTCGGTATGTTGCAGCTTGATAGGGCCTTATAAGGGTACCTTTCCGGAAAAGGCGTTACGCAACGCCTGCTAGGACGCACAGGAACTCGCCCACTGCCAGGCGTATAAGTTCTACTCCTTTTGGGAACTTATCATGCCGACTGCCTTCGACAGGTAGCGGAACTATGCTACAAATACGTCTTCCAGTGCAAAAAAAGGAGGGAGTGACTCGATGGGGAGTTAATGATGATTGCGGTAGCCACCCAGACAGCTATCGCGGAAATTACTATCGAAAAGAAAACCAAGCAAACTGTTTGCAGGTTTCCGCCAGGTAGCGTGGTGACACTTAATTTGATCGACACTGGCCCACCGATGGCTTACGAGTTACTGCCAGATGTCGTGCCACCGCTTTCCTACGGCGAATTGTACTCGAACGGACCAGTTTTTGAATCAGTAATATGACGAAATCGCAGAATATTCGTAGACAGACAGTTCAAAGATTTCATGAGAAGACGGTGCAATAAATCGTTCTGTGGTCGAGTTCGTTCTTACAGTATCCAATCTTGCGACCCGAATCTGTTCATAGAACAATCTCCGCCCTTTCTTGATTCTTGAGTCAACTTGAGGGTAGCGGGCCCGACATGTTGACTAATTGTGAGTGTATGGTAGTAGAAAATGATACCCTGAGGCCCGTCCCTGCGTGTTTTGCAGTGAAGGGCGCACTCGAAGCGAGACCCGACTTCCTTGAAACTCCTTGCCAACGAATGCTCTACTCCAAATGGCCGCAGTGGTCAGAAAGCAGCACCAGACCAGTCGCTTTTACCCGCCAGCTTTCCTGAGACGTTTAGAGAGTGAGGGGAAAAGGCTGCGTTTGCTCATAGGCACGGTATTCTTCCCTGTTAGGCGTATTTATCCTGCACGTCGAGCCAGTCAATTTATCTTGCCCACCGCCT